ATCTTAAAACGTGGCACAGGCAGTAATATCGCAAAATCCACCAGGAAGCTTAGGGTAGTATTTGACGTATCAAGAAAGGGAAGGAAAGCCCACCATTAAATGAATGCCTATAAAAGAAGTAATAACGACATCTATTACGAGCCAGACAAGGACATTACTTGGTAACAAGCGATGTGAAGAAAGCATTTTCATAAGTGAATTTGAACTGGGAAGAGAGATGTAACCAGGTTTTTGTGGCTGAAAGATAAGTTAGAGGAGATAACTCGAGAAAACCTTAGTTATGAAAGAAAACATCGTGAATGTGTTATAATCTATGGATCAAGTTACGGCATTAATTGATGAGATACGATTCTTACCATTGTTTAAGTTGATAAGAACGATATTATACATTTTATGATTCCTCTAAAGAAATCAAAAGAAAGAAATTTTGAAAAAGTTTTCAAGAATTTTGCTTTCAAAGAGTATGACAAGGAACACAATTGGTAGTCAAGATGGCTGATACAACTAAATATAAGACGAAGACAGATCCAACACTGAGGTTTGAGAAAAAATCGAATGGAATCTGGAGATATATTGAAAGACTTAGAAGGACCATGCCTCAAATTGGGCATTTTCCATAGTTCATCAATAAAAGAAAGCTAGCAGAATTGATTGTGAAACGCCACCATGAGAAATCATTTCATGCGAAAGTATACTACGCCTGAAGAGATGAGATATGGTATTGTGATCCCGTATGGGCGGTCATATGCTAAGGAATTTTTGAGGACTTAAAGATTGCACTATATGGCTGGCTAACCCATTTGAACAACCAAAAATCTTCGTCCTTATCCCACTACTAGAATTATAGAAGCCTGACTTTTGAAATGGTTTAGATCTATTTGGGCCAGTTATAATAAAGGCGAATTACCAAATGATGACATTCGAAGAAAATTTGATATTTAATCTGAAAAAAAAAAGCAGCTGAAATAATTTTTATAATTTTTTTTTTAAATAGCAAGAATCTTAGAGCAACTTTCAAGGTACTTGTAGAATTAAGTACAGCGGAATGTGAAACGATGGAATGGAAATTTACTACTCCAGGAGCCTTTTTGGTAGGGTAGCATTTCGAAAACATGATTGGAGTAATTAAAGGATTTTCTAAAGAAAGCCGTAGACACAAAGCTCCTTAACAATGGAGAATTAATAACTTTGGTCACCGAACTTGAAGCGATTATCAACGAAACACCTCTGCTAGAGCTCGAAGAAATACATCTAGGAATTTTTTGAATCTAGGCTTAGCTCAAGGAGAATATTTAATAGAAGAAAAAGCTTGCCGCAAGGATGAAATGATATACAAGGGAAAAATTTTACAAACAAAAGAATTGGCTTATCAGTACATGACTACATGTAAGAGACTTCATCGCCTTTGAAGGAGATGGCGAGGGTAATATCTAGAAGTATCGAATTCGAAGAGGACTTGAAATTGATGAGCTAGTGTTGTTGAAAGGAAACTGTCCCAGAAACATCTGGAGAATGGAAAGAGTTGATAAGCATGTCTTATGTGGCAAAGATAATATATGTCGAGCAGCTGTTGTAAAAATAGCTAATAGCAAATAGCTAATAAAAATAGCTAAAAATAGCTTAGCTAATAGCTAATGGAGCTAACAGTTAGAAAAACAGCTAGTGAGCAGTCGGACATCTTCATCTTTTAGAGGTCTCCAACGGTGGACAAAGTCCAGATAAACCACCAATTCTTGTGATCTCAGAATTGCACTAGGAGAATCATAAACATCAAAAATATTTCCTCAAGATGGATCTCATCAAGATTTATTGTGTAGAAACAATATCAAGCGTCATTGGATTTCCTATTGATATTGTTATTGTCATTAATTTGTCATATCGATATGACAAATCGAAATTTTTGATTGCTTATTTGTTGTTGTATTAACAAATTTACCACAATGAAAGTTTAAATTACCTAAGTTTGAGGTACTATCAACTAAAGAGGCAGAAAAGAACTCTCAATTTTTGTCAACTGAAAAAGATCAGCGACAATGATAATAGAAATTTGACTTTGATTTGAAAAATTTCAACAATAAACAAATGATTCAGTAAGAATGATTTATTAATTAGAATTAGCTGCTGTTTTAGTATACTACTATCTTGAATTTATTGATAACTTAAAAGATGAACGTTAATTTATCAAAAATCATCTTTAGTGTTCTGTATTATAATATCAAACAGCTGCTATCTTAGGAGTAATTTTGATTATTATCACTCAAAATATAACAAAAACTAAGCAACCTCAATCCTTTCCCTTCAAATGTTATTAATGTTTATAAATTCTGTTTTTCACTAAAAATTTTACCGGAAATTTTTTTTTGTTTTACCATCTTTCTAATTCAGATTAGATATCAAATTTTAATTTGGGAAGACTTTCTCTTCATTATATACGACATATCATTTAGGCATATTTTAAAATTTTACCGGAAATTTTTTTTTTGTTTTACCATCTTAATGATTTTCTAATTCAGATTAGATATCAAATTTTAATCTGGGAAGACTTTCTCTTCATTATATACGACATATCATTTAG